GACAAAGACAAACAGGAACAGACCTAAATTTTTACAATTTGGGTGATTTGTCATGGCAACTGGAAAGGGGAAAAATTATAGGTTGAAGCCCTGGAATGGGAGACTCGGAGAAGAGGCTCAGTGAGCCCTTTCAGGAGCCTGATGCATGGGATTGGATTATTGCCAGGACTGTTGAGAGTCACATACATTCAAAGCTGTGCAGTCAGCTGCCATCTTTGAGCAGGGCGCCACCGTCTTGGAGCTTCTTTGGCCATAGCTGAACTGGAAAGAACCGGCTGGAAGCCCTGCTTTGAAATGACTGAACCAACCGCTACTTGCAACAAACTTTTCATCACAATCACCTTCACCTGTCGCACACGCAGCTTTTAAATCACTGAAAAGGCTTCACGCCTTTCCTTGCACAAATGTAAGGCTAGATAAGAACTGTATGCACCTGGTCTGACTGACCTACAAATTCTTAAAGACACAGTTAGCAACGGACCTTGTTGTAACCAAGGGACTGCCTGTATTCACAATAGCCAAAAGGTGGAAAAAAAAAAATCTAAATGCCCATCAACAGATGAATGGATTAACAAAATGTGGTGTAGACATACAATGGAATACTACTCAGCCAATAGGAGAAATGAAGTTTTGATACATGCTACAGTATGGAGCTTGAAGACATTATGCTGAGCGAAATAAGCCAATCACAAAAGGACAAATCTTGTGTGCTCTCACTTATACGAGAAGACGAGCAAAGGCAAATGTATAGAGACCAAAGTTTATTAGTGGTTAACAGGGGTGGGAGGGAAGGGGGGAAGAGGGGTGAATGATGATGGAAAAGTCTCATTGATTAAGGAAGGGTAGGGTTGCACAGCTGATTATTGTAATTGCTGTCAATAAGCTATACACCTGTAAAAAGTTAAATTGATAAAAGTTGTGTGATAGATATACTTACAACAACGACCAAAAAAAAAGCAAAAAAGCTGCTGAGGCTGCTTATGTACAACCAAATGCCTCATGGGATTTGGTTCCTTGGTTTGGAGGTTTAGGGTCATGGTATCATGGGACATCCCAGTGAACTGGCCTAATAACGTGTTTAGTGCTTCTGTTCTACCTTCCAGTTTGATGCATTGTGCCTGGGGTCTTAAAAGCTTGCAAGCGGCCATCTAAGGCACAACAATTGGTCTCTATTCTTTGGAGCAACAGAGGAAGAAGGAGAGTCAGGAACAGGAGGGAATGGAATGTGTGGCTAACTGCCTCCATGAACAACTACCTCCTTTGCCATGAGACCAGAAGAATGGGATGGTGTCCAGCTACCATCACTGAACACTGTGGTCAGAGATTCCATAGAAAGATCTTGATCAATATGTGGAAAAGATGGAACAGAATTTCAAATTCTCATGGACTCTAGACTTTTTAGAGCCATGGAGCATGGATGAACCCCTGAAACTATTGCCCTGAGATAATCTTTAAACCAAAAATATCTCCTGAAGTCACCCTAAAACCAAACAATACTTTAGCTTAACTAGTAAAAAAAAGTCTGCCTTGAGCATTATGCTTTTTTAAGAACTACCTATATGGGATTAAATTGACAACAGCAAAGATTAGATAGGAACCTTAGGGGGCAGTGAGTTAATGTT